TTATACCTTAGTCAATTCCTTCAACTTAAAACTTCCGAAATTAGAATTTTCTTTCCAAATTAACTCCGAACTTTCCGAAATCAAATTCCGACCATGCGTACAAGTCATAATACCTGAAGTGAAGCTGTTCATAGCCTTAAACCGTCGAAAGACGCGTTAGAGCTCAAAACGACAGGTCAGGTCGTTACATTTTGACTTTTGGGATGAATTGGGATTAATTTAGTGAATAATATTATATCTGGGGATGGGAAAATCAAGAAATCTCCAAGTGTGTGGGAATGGGGAAGTTGGGAATCGATATTGCTTTAATGATTTAAAGAGTTAAAAGAAAAGTTACGCTAGTAAAAATAGAAAGTAAATAAATATTTAAGAAAAAAATTAAACAAAAGATTTGGTAGGGGATTTAATCCCGTGACCTTAGGCTAGTCAAACTAAGGGGCCAAAACCAATGCACCACTTCACCTCTTTTTACCATGGGTTCCATCAAATATATATNGGTTCACGTGAACCACATTTTACATAGCAAATTCGCCCCTGAAGATAAGCCCAAATATATAATACAATCCACAATGCATTTTGTATTGCTCAAGAATGCAGTGTTGGTACACCTAAATTGCCGCTTCTAAAAAGTAGATATAGTAATAGGTTAGACTTGCTACCAGAGACAGACCTACATGGAGATGAAAAGGGTCACCAGAATCTGCTAGCCTCGGTAAAAATTGTGTATATATATTTGTATATACATCAAGGACCCCTCCAATAATTTTGATGTGCCCCCTCAGGCAGAAAAGCTGAACTGCTCTGTTGGTTTAACATTTGCATTTATGTCCTCCCTCGTTGACGACCTGTGTTCGAAACCCAACACCAGTTCTCTTTTTCAATTTGTTTGTTTCTTCTATGAACTCACCGAGTTAATGATAATTTAGTACTAGTATATAGAAGGGGATCAGATATTCCATTAGCAAGAAGGCAATCACCTTCTTTATCCTTAATTATATCTAAGTTTATAAGCATTATTATTTTCTTGACATGTATAAAAATAAGTAATTCACCAAACTTTTCCCCAAAGACAGTAATTAAAAACTTCAAAAACCCCTTCTGCCTTCAAGGATCACTTCGACAAAGTAGCAAACATCCATCGATTCAATGACAGTGACTGAAACTCTGCTTGGATTGCTTACGAGACCTTTAATTTTGATCTTATTTGACTATGTCTTTCATATTTTTGAACATCCTTTCGGTCACCGACTAATATTCATTATGTTTTCAAAGAGTTTGCGCGTTGAACTTTTGCCGTTATTGTCACACCTCCTTTTTCCCGCAGGGGATAGGGAAGTTTTTCCAATTAAAGTGACATTAATCGAAATGGGATTATTTATTTAATTCAGATTCGCCACTTGGAATAATTGTTATGGTGTCCCAAGTCACCGGTTTATTTTAAATCCCAAATCAAGAAAATTGACTCTATTTTATGGTCCGCGAACATAGAAGACCGGGTAAGGAGTTCTGTTAACCCGGGAGAAGGTGTGAGGCACTCCCGAGTTCTATAGTTTTAGCACGGTCACTTAACAATTAATACTTGGCCTAATTATATGATTTATTACATGTTTGAAACCTATTGTGCATTTTCACGTTTTAACCGCTTTTAATTATTTATGAAATTATTTCTGGAATAAGTCACGATGTCGTACACTTGTCGTTTTGATATACATTGCAAACCGCACCGCATGAAATGCACCCGCGATTTACGACATGTTTATTTTTATTATTATTCAAAGTTATGGTCGAGTCACGTGAAACGCACACTCGAATTGGGGATTACGTATCATGACTATGCCACGAGAACCGTACCCATAGTTACGATGATTTATTATTAATCGCGCCTAAAGCAAGCTACGATGTTCATGAACTATTTATTTCCTAAGATTTGAGATTTGTTGTGAGGTCATGACTTATGGAATAGAATTATTGTGGAAAAATGTATGATTTTAGCTATTATGAATCTATTCAAAAAGATACTAAAAAATCAATGTTACAACCCAACAACTTACGCCTATATCTTTTACTAATGCGACTAGTAAGAGGATGAGACACAGAAAACATTTTAAACTCTAAGAACTAGTGAATCAATCCAAGACAACAGTAAACTTGCTAAGTGACTAAAATCGAAACAAATGCTATTTGAAATTAATGAAACTTCAACAGACTCATAAGGGGTGCCACGAACTGGAACTTCCTTGTTAAGCAAAGAGCAAAGATAAATACAAGTTAATATGTATATTAATGGGGAAGGAGTCTGCTAGGATGTCGACATACTTAAGGACACTGATTCATCAAATTCAAATGACGCTAACCAAACCAATAGCAGAAAAGATATCAAGCCATCTATCGTAAGCTCGATCCAAAGAAAGGAAGATAAACAAGAAAAACTTGCGAAGGTGCGAATGATGATAACAACTCTATTGTTTCCAATACATGGAATCAACTGACCAACTAGCTGAGGAACAGTAGCTAATGCAATCACGAATTTTCACCTAAAAACAAAATACTTAACACGAATTCAATATCCATGCTCAAATAAATATCAATTCAACTAACCCCTCAACAACCTTGAAGGTAGAAGTCTTAACACATTCCAAAATTTAACAATAAGTACGAACAAATCATTTATGGCAAAATGAACAAAGGACAGCTTCAAGCAGAAATCGAAACGACCTGAGGAAAGCAAATAGACTCAATGTTCATGTGTGGTGCTTCAAAGCAAATATAAACCAAAGTAGTAATCCCAAATAATTAAGCAAAGCACGGAAAACAGGTCATTGCTCACTTAGCATTCGTCAAACAATCCAGTCTCATGAATATTTCAAAGTGAATTAGGCCATGTCATTCCATATATATATTCGGATCACCGAAAGCAAATTATAGAAGAGAAAGAGATGAACCCGTTTAGTCGAAATTCTTTTTAATAACAGTAAAGGAATCAACAGATACAATATTTTGCTCCAAAGTTTCAACTGTAAACAGCAAAGTTACCGAGCAGAAGTCGCAAGCCAAATCAAAACCACGAACCTCGGACGGAAACTCGGATCGGCACCGGAATTTCGAATCCAAACACGAACTCAAACTCAAATTTCAATCAAACTCTATCTTCGAAAACGAAAACTGGAAATGTAAAGAAGAAACATATATTTGTTTTATTTTTCTAAGATTCAAATTAAATTACAAGCTGAAAAAAAAAATGGAAACAAAAGCAGAGCCCTTCCTTTTGTAAACCCTATCTCTTACTTCTCTCTTTTTTTTCTAAAAAAAAACTTTCTATCCAAAATTCTCCAGCCAAAAAAATCCCCCTCTGGAAAAAAAAATGACCTCTAATACATAGAAGCTCCAGAAGCTTCTATACTTCCTCCCCAAGTCATGAAAATTCTCAACTCTTTGTGTGGATGATTTTTGGGACAAATGGAGGGCATGGATTGATTGTCAATCAATCTATGGCTCCCATTAATCTAAAAATCGCCTCAAAGAGAATCTAGACGTGCAAAATTCGGAAGGAATAATTCCGTTGTCAGAGTTAGTTACACTACGTGGCAAGAGGAGAGAGGGGGGAGCACGTGAGGCGGGTGGGTTGATTTTTCCGATGGGTTTGGGAGTCGTTTGGCAGAAGGTGGAGGAGGGGAGGGGGCGCCGTTTGGTTAGCATAGAGATAGGGTTAGGGTTTTCTAATATTAGGTTTATATATTTAGGTGGGGGTGAATAATAACCATTGGATAAGATAAGGGTGAAGGGTTGAGATTGAATGGGGAGATAGGGGCGGGTCGATCCGATTTGGAGTATTATTTTTGGGCCATTGAAATTGTATTTTGGCCGAGACTCTAAAAATAAACTTAATTCCTTTTTTTCTCTTTTTATTTCTTTTTCCTTATTTTAAATATCATACTCACATTAATCAAAAACCTAAGTTAAGTTCTAAAATCATCTAATTTATAGAATTGAATTAATTATCTATTTCTAATATTAAAATAATTAATTAACCTAAAACTGATGAAAGGAAAATACTAATTTTAAAACTAAAAGCTAAATATGTAAAAATGATCATTTTTTGTGATTTTTGTTTAATAATGCAATTAACTCATGTAATTATATCCTAATATGCAATTAAATCTAAGATGCTATGCAATGAATATTTTATATATTTTGGTATTTTTTATAATTTTAAATATTAAATATGCAACTAAATGCAAACAAAATTAACCAAAAAAATCTAAAATTCTATAAAACGAAAATAATTTATAAAGATTTATTTTTGAACTTTGTAGAATTAATTTTAGTCGGGCAAAAATTACGTGCTCACAGTGATTAACTGACATATCTTTGTCAAAGATAGCGTGTCCCTCTGCGCTCAAATCCTGAGCCCGCATGTGCTTGCTACATGCTTCGTTTGTCAGAAAGGAAAGGAAGAAGAAAGTAAAGAGGAGGAGAAATTAAAAGGAAAAATTAGTGCATAGTAGTAGTGTATTCTTTCGTTTCAAAATCGCAACCTTACGGACTTCAGGAAACAGATAGTCCTAACAAATATTCTCCTCCGTGCAGATAAGGTGATAAAGCGCCTTTCCTTAAAAAAGAGGTACTAATATACATATATATGTACGTGGTCGAACAAAAATGAGAGGTAATATAAAGACAAAAATAAAAACCTTACATTATAATAACAGTAAATTAAAAGATTACAATTTCCACAGCATATTTTAATACCTTTTCGACAGTTTTTCTCTTCGTCAATTTTGAGATGTACTGTAATGTAAATAAAAATGACTGAAAACAGCACCTTTGCATTTGTTTTTTGTTTTTTGGTTTTCCTTTTTGCCTAACCCTTAAAAGCTAAACACATTACAAGAAAATACTGCTGGAACCCAAGAAATACTTATGGGTCCCACATCTTCATGCTAACGTGAAAGACTTAAAAGCAATCTTTATAGAAAAGGTGTTACGCACGTGATCACCACCTAAAAATCACGTGAGCACCACCCTCCTCCACCGCTGCCATGCAAGAACGGCGACTCAGCTCCGACGACTCCAGGCTTTAAGGAGAAAACACAATGCCAGATCTCAGTAAAAGCTCTAACAATGACGCCATGGTAGTAAGGAGAATTAAGCTCTAAAAAACAGTTAAGAAGCTCCCTTTGTTCGTCTTTAGAGTATATCTCCTTTTCAAGAATCATTTGAAGCATTGACTGCCGAAAGTCAACGTAAGGGTCGTCGGAATCTTTCTCGACGGCGACACTCTTGCCGCCTATTCTGCCGAAGCCTTGAACGGCCCTCTCGGTGTCGGAGGAGTAGTAGGCCGGAGAGAAAGTGGTGGTAGTAGTAGCGTTAGAAGAACTAGAGGAGGAGTAATTGTAGGCGGGGTTGTGGTGGTGCTTGGTCGTTTTATGGTGGTGGAAGGCGGCGGAGTTGTGGCGGCGGGGCTTAGGGTGGAAAATGCTGGAAAGTTTAGGGCACCTGCAACTGCTGCTGCAGCCTAATTTCACTGTCACGTTGCTCAAAATAATCTTCCTCTTGTGGGTTGACATATTGCAAAATGTTTTGGAGATATTGCCTTACTCAGAGTGAGGATTTTGCAGAGGGGTGAAGTTTTATCTGAGTTTGTTTAACGAAAGTCAGTGTGACTAAGGAGCTGCATTGGACTGATCAGGGAAGTGAGGGAACTTATGAATTCTATGGGTGCTAGAGCTAGAAAGAATAGAAAGTTCTTTATTAGTTAATATAGGTATCTTCTTGTTATTCTAACAGCCAGTTGAGATAATTAATTGATGACACCTATGGCCGAGTAGTATTTATTATTGGATCAATGTTATAAACATATTGGATAGTGCAAAAAAGTTTTTTTATATTATTGGTGATTGATAATTTTCTTTAGCCGGAGTCTACCGAAAATTCTCTCTCAAGTTCACATAATATTGGATCAATGTTATAAACATATTGGATAGTGCAAAAAAGTTTTTTTATATTATTGGTGATTGATAATTTTCTTTAGCCGGAGTCTACCGAAAATTCTCTCTCAAGTTCACATAATATTGGATCAATGTTATAAACATATTGGATAGTGCAAAAAAGTTTTTTTATATTATTGGTGATTGATAATTTTCTTTAGCCGGAGTCTACCGAAAACTCTCTCTCAAGTTCACATAAATTAAATTGTGAAATCACATTAGGTATGTTGTAGCTTGTGATAGTAGATAATTTATCTTTTATTCTTAAGATTATAAATCCTATTTCTTACACAATTAGTATATATAAGTTAGATTCTTGGTACGTATTATTTTGAGCTTTTAGTGAACCACATCAGGTTACTACCTTGGTTTTCTTTTTATTTTTGTCTTTACTTTTGCAGGTTGAGTTGTAATTGGCTCTAAAGTTTGGTGTTAGGACAGTTGGTCCTTTCCTATCTAGGGTGAATGTCTAAACGTCTTCCTTTAGCTTGAAATGAAGTCCACAACAAACAGGATTTGCATTATCTAACGTTCAGAAATAAATTAACGTACAATAAGTAGTAAGAACTCCCTTATATAAATCAACTAGTAAACTTGCCCCGCTTCGCGCGGTTGTTAAATAACATTAGTAGATTTATAGAACAATTATTTTTTAGATTAGTTATAAAATGAGAAGTTGATAGATTCTTTTAGAACTATATTTTTCGAACCATTCCTTAAATAGTACTATAAGCTATTAATAATGTAATTTATTTTATTTTTATGCATTTTGTAAATATTAGTGGGGGTTAGCAGTGCTAAATACGGACCCAATCCAAAATCTAAAACAGAGAACTGAAGTTTAACGACATGTCCATCAGATAAGTTAGATCTTTATGATTTGTTCTAACAGTTTTATGATACACATGTATGCTCCTTTGTCAATGACCTCTATCATACCACTCTTCAGAAAAATCCCAGATAACAAAGGAATTAGTTTCAATAGCTTAAAAGTCCCACAAAAATGTCAGATTATAATGGTTAGTAATGGTGGTTATCAAGAAAGGAAAGTTATTTGTACAGTTAACATGCCGAGGCAGATTGTCTGATGGGCACAAAGTCCATTAGGTACTCTAACATAGAAATACTCGTGTAGACATGCTCATTCTTAAAATTTGAATAGTAATTAGGAACAATGAATGAGTAATGCAACATCACATTGCGTTAGCCTATCACGATAATGTATGCATTTCAACTTTCCCAAGGGGTGTCAATCCAAAATGCTACTAACAGAGTATGACATCCTTTTGTTAAGCAAATCATTGATTATTTTTTTAAATACGTACCATAGTTACATTGTCCAAGCTGATATAGAAATACAAAGGCATCATAAGTTGGTAAGTGTCCTGATGGCCAATAATTCCAAGGTCTCATACCAACAAAACTAAATTTATATATTAGAACTACTCATAAAAAAGAAACACAAATCAAGTACATACGTAGAACAGAAAAGAAATAAGGAGAAAAGAGCATGAGTTGACTAATGCCTTCTTGATTCTATCTATCATTGTCTAACATTCTATGGCTAACAGCTTTTAGAAGTAAAAGATGGGGAAAAAAAATCATTCTACAAGATAACAAATCACATGTTAATTTAATGAAATATTCTTCTTTATATAGAATTATTCCCCTCATTCTACATACTTTATTGCCATTTGAATGCTTTGAATTTTAAAGGACTGAATTAAACTTTTAATTTTTTCCCTCTTTAAATACATTTGAAACATTAAGAAATTATCTTGCAGTTCTCTTTCCAGTGAATTCATTGTGTTTGAGCTGCTCAAGTGCTTTTTTCAGCTGCTGAGACTGCAATATCGGATTTGGTCTTGTCATTCCAGCACCCTACATCAGATATTCCATATGATGAGAAAATCAATATCAATTGACAAAAATTAAAGAATTGGAGCAACAATATGCCAATAACAATTTGGTCTATCCACAGTTACATTGGTATTCCTCCTAAGCACATTAAATAGAAATACTAATCTTCAACTTGTTCTCCTGTATTTACTCATTGTCAATATTAATTAATGCAGGGGCTTCTTCCATTAGTTTGACGGAAGCAAGCCAGCTCTTCCCTGGCTTTGAAGGAATTGCTTAGTTTCTGCTGCTTAATAATAAGGCCCTCTTTCAGAAAATTCAGTAAATTATTATATTCGTATGACAAAGATAAAAAAAGCCACGGAGCGCTGTAGGAAAAATTACGATTAATATTTTTATGACGTTGATCCTTAAGTCCAAGAATGATGAAATGGTTCTTACTTTAATTTTTGCATGATGATGGTTGTGGTGTGTTGAAGGTTCTACTGACGACACAACTTCTTTACATTTGCTCCAAGTTCCTTGACCCTCTTCTTATGGTTTACATTCTCCACATGAAAAATTCCAGAAAAATAACAGTAATTTCTATACATTATCAACCTTCTGAGGTATAACAGATAAAAAGTCTCAAGCTATCCAACCCTTGTCATATCATTTTGAGTTGTTAGCAAGTGATCAGCAGCAGTGAGCTGCACGCGCAATGACATGGCATTGAATTAGTTTGAGTTGTCCTGTTTCCTCGACGTGGTACTTAAACTGATATATTTTAAGATGCATAAATTCTCTTATACTAACACTTGCCATATATAAAAACCCAGTATGACATAAACAGGTAGCTAAGAGGGCGACACTTGCTGCCAATAACGTCAAATTTATCTCCTAACATCAAAATTAAAATGTAGAATCCATATTACATAATAGGCAAAATAAGTCTCTCTAACAGTTGAAAGGCGTCACCAACAACAATAAAGCATTTTCCCTAAATGATTCATAAAATAACTAACACAAAAAGCAGACGAAAATAATACGTTAAGTATAAATAATGAACCAATAGAAGTTCCAAGAGTGTCTGTTATAGGCCCTTGTTTTGCCCTCGGCCACATCTCTATCACAAAGGTATAAATAATCAAAATATGAGAGGGAATAAGGAATTAATTAACATGATAAAAGAGAATAAGTTAAGTGTTTCACCAAAGTAGTTAAACACATACAAAAAGCACTTGAAATCAGAAAGCTTAAATGGGTAGATTAGCTTTGCTCAGAATGTTGACCGAAAGAATCGAGATTTGATGTAGAGAGCGATTCCTGAAACCTGAAAAGAGGAAATAAGTGATTCGTTTGAGCAAATCAGTGAGACAAATTTGAACAACAAAGTTAAAAAATTTGACAAAGCACGGCACATTAGACTAATAAAGATAATGAATCAAATCTGCAAAAATAATTTGAACATCAAAAGACAGAGATGGAACTCTCAAATGAAAAAGGGAGAAGGGAAAAGGAAAAAGGAGGATAAGAAGATGCAGCAACAGAGAGGGAAGGTACTACCGGTTGAAAATCTGTGCTCTTACTCTGATTTTAAATGGAAAGAAAAGTCATTGACTATCAGTGGGAAGAAAATCGTATCATCGGTTTCGAGAGAGGGTGGAGAAAAAGTCTGCTTTGAGTAATATATAATATTGGAAGGAAGTGATGGCACTTTATTCTGGCAATTACGGGGTCTTTGACATGCGGCTTTTGGAGTCTTTATTACAACACCGAACCGGCGTAAAAAAGAGGAGAAATACAAGAAAAAGGAGAAAAGAGATAAATAGAAATGCTGCTCATAGGAATTGCCACATCATTCTTTTAAGTCTCTCTTTTATATATATATATATATATATATNTAACATGGAGGGAGGCGACAATGACAGTAAATCATAAATACAAATTAATGCCGTGAAGACATCACGAATACACTAGTTTAGAAGCTTTGAAGTCTCTAACAAATCTTTATCTTAGGAAGAAAACACCAAAATAAATATTTTGAATAGGAGGGAGTGCGATGTTTCTACCTACTCTTTGTTAGTAATTTGTATTCAGGAAACAAATTTTCGAAACTTAAACAACGGGAAATAGAAATGTAGAAGAAGTAAAAAAAAAAATTCGAGCCCACTGAATTTATAATTTATTCTTAAGGAACTTAATCTCCTCCTAGTACCTGAAGTTTAGGATTATTTTCTCCTATGATAGAACAGATTAACAATACTGGTATAGCGGTATTCTAAACACCAGTGTACAACGAAACAAATGGCGGCAGTGAATCACACATACTTTATTTTTTAAGAAAATAATACAGAAATGATGTTTTAACTTCAATACCACACAAGAAGGGGTGATTTGTGTGGTGTCCAATTTTTTGCGTGCACAAATTATAGAAGGACCTGGTTCTTCTATGTGTTCCTTATACTACTGTTGCGGAATAATAAATGCATAAATTAAAGAACACAAGGATTTTTACGTGGAAAACACCTAGCTCAAAAGGTGAAAAAACCACGACCTACTTCCCAGTAGGATTTTTTCAAACTCTCCACTAAATCACTGAGCCAAAAACTGCATTTACAAATTACTTTTTTAAACCTAGGATTAACTCTAATCCTGTTGTAGCAACCAGTCTCTAACTGCTGCGACAACGTCAAGTTAACTCTAACTTGAATACTTTGAGTACCTATTACAATTGCCTCTAAATAACGCTGAACAATACAATATGAAAACACCTACTACAATTGAACTAGAATAAAAGACAGACACTTGGAGCTGGTTCTTCTATCTGGTTCATATAGCTTCAGGTTCGCACACTTGAATCACACACGAACTGCTTGCAAAATGCCTTGCTATTTTGCTCTCAATTCACGTTTAACTTCTACTTTTGTGCGTTACCTGTAGAATGAGAACATTCTGCGATTTATAGAGTTAGTAGAGTAGAAAATAACCAGAGTTCTAATGCTACTATTTCTTGGTGGAAGAGTTCTAGTTGATCTCAACCTCTAACTCCTCCCTTATCTTGGATAGTGTTCTCTTTGATTAAGAAGTCCTTCTCCATATCAATTATGAAACTATTTTCGATCAGGAGATATTAATTAGACCAAGTTAAGCTTATCTCCTTTACGTGCAACCCACATGCTCGAATCTGCCCGTGTCTATGCATACAACGGATGGACCTGGTTCATGCCTGAGCTTCCTTTATCAATCTTCAAAACTAACATTCACTTAGGCCAACAAATTCCCTCTTTTTGATGATGACAAACTCTGTGCTTTTCATAAGCTTAGGCCCTGTTTCAACTTAACCCAATATCAACACAACGTTAGAATATTTTTTCTTTTTATCACTTATCATCAAGGACCAGGTTCATTAGATTATAAACATCACTGTTCAAAGTATAAATTACAATATTTTTCCCCCTTTTGGCATCATCGAAAAGTTGTATAAAAAATGTGTGATTCCTAGATTCTTAAACTTACTCATGGCCACTGGAGCTACTTCAAATGCATTCATAGATTAATCATCATAGATCAAGCTAAGAATTTTAACCATTAAGGAAATATAAACAAACAGTTAGAGCAGAAGACAGTGAATTTCATTGATGATTAATAAGATCCTACCACAAAGTATAAGAAGAAATAAAAATACTGAAAACATGAGCAAACACAATAAAAAAAATTCCGAACTTGGTCACTGGTTGATCTACACTAGGCTAGGAGGCTTAAGGCTGGGAAGGACTAGGTGCTTGATTTTTGGCTTGGAGGAGTTTCAGCATATTCTGAAGAATGCCATCGTTCTTCTCCTTTTCTCTTGCCAGCTCAGTTCTGAGAGCATCTCTCTCAGTCTCCACCTCTGCCAACCTCTTCTTCAGCCTCTCAATCTCAGCATCCTTAGCCCCACTTTCTTACACCAAGGCTCGCACTTTGCTATTCACTGGTACCTTCTTGGATGAACCAGGTTCTTTAGGAGTGGCATGGACTTCATAGTCACAAGCAAGCAGCGTATTTGTCCCAAAATGATCCTTGCTTGTAAAATATTGATGTTTTAAATTCCAGTCACTCTCTTCAGTAGGTATGCGAGGGTTTCCTGTTCAGATAAAATAGGTTCATCTATATTTTTTTCAAGATGAACCAGCCCTTCAGCGGCTTCGCCAGACCCTCTTCCCCCTGTTTTCTTTAAACTCTCCTCTACTCCAGCAAATTTTTCTCCCCAAATAACCATTGCACCTGTGTCTTTGGTTAAACTCACAGGAATGGGTGAAGAATCAACCACTCTTTTACCATTTCCCCTCACAGCACTTCGAACACCCTTGCTCTTTTTTTCTTTTTCTTTTTTATTTTTACCACCAATTTCTCCAAACTCTATAGTTTCAACTCCTGCTTTAGACCCTACTAGTACAAAACTATTCTCCAAATTTGTACCTGTTCAATTTTAGAAGAAACAGTTTCTTCCCCCTCAGTAGCAGATTTGAATGATTCATCAGATTTCTAGGATTCTTCTTCCTTACTCGCTTTCAATTTTTTATTTATTTTCTTGATTTGTTCTCTCCCCGCAACAACCTTGCGAGCAATCATCTTTACTCTTTTATTAGAGGTTGAGATGTGGAAGGGATGATAGTGGGTGTGGAAGTCTAATCAAACTGAATTTCAGTTTTGAAAAAACTTTGGAGTGTATTCCTATAATCTAGGTACTTCAATTCGGTTGGGACTCTTTTGAACAGAACTGGTTCACTTGTAACGGATAAGTCCAAAAGGAGTTTGGAATTAAGTAGGACTCTACTCATGATCGAAATATTATTATTTCAAATTATGCAGAGTATAGAAAACATACCGTGTTATCTTGATGAACCAGGTTCTTCACTGATAATTCTCTTGTGTAAGTCTAAATTTTCCAAAATAGAGAAAATATCATTAGAGATTAATGAATCAATTTAACACATGGCACAAGAGTATACTATTGAAAGTATGCGTCTGAGCAAAAATTAATCTAATTATATACACATTTTCAGATTTTCTAACCAAAAACAATTTTTTTTATTTTATTTTTATTTTTTTCGTTGTGAATTCTAAACTGGTCCTTTTAGGTGATCTTAATCATCCCTAATTCTAACTTGTTCCTTTCAAAGTGATCTCTACTTAGGGCTTTTGTGAAGATGTCAGCTATTTGCTTGTCAGTAGCACAAAATTCCACAGTGATCAACCCTTTTTCATAGTTATCCCTCAAAAGGTGATGCCTAACATCTATGTGCTTAGTTCTCTTGTGATAAACTAGGTTCTTGGTCATACTAATAGCACTAGTGTTATCACAAAAAATGGGAATACAACCAACATCAATTCTAAAGTCCTTTAATTATTGTTTGATCCACAACAATTGAGCACAACATGAAGCAACAACAACATACTCAGCTTCAGCAGTAAATAAGGCCACTGAATTTTGCTTTTTGGTGGCCCAAGACACAAGACATCAGCCAAGAAAGTATGCCATACCTGAGGTGCTCTTTCTATCCACAAGAAAGCCTGCATAATCAACATCATCATATCCCACAAGATTAAAATTACTACCTTTTGGATACCAAAGACAAAGATCAGTGGTGCCTTTTAGATATCTCAAAATTCTCTTGACAACAGTCAAGTGAGACTCCCTTGGATTTGCCTGAAATCTTGTATAAAGGCCTACATTGAAAATAATGTCAGGTCTACTAGCAGTGAGATACAACAATGAGCCAATCATTCCGCTATACAACTTTTGATCAACAGATGAACCAGGTTCATCTATATCCAACTTTTTAGATGTTGCAATAGGAGTGTCAATTTCTTTGGAATCTTCAATTTTAAACCTTTTAAGCAACTCTTTTACATACTTACGTTAATGGATCATAGTTCCATTTGGATTTTGTTTAATTTGTAAGCCTAAAAAGAAATTAAGCTCACCCATCATGCTCATTTCAAATTCACTCCCCATTAGTTTAACAAATTCTTTACTTAGCTTATCAGTAGTTTCTCCAAAGATTATATCATCAACATATATCTGAACTATCAAGAGATCTTTACCTTTTTCTTTCAAGAATAAAGTATTGTCAATTTTACCTCTCTTGTAGTCATGCTCAAGCAAAAATTTTGATAATCTTTCATACCATGCTCTTGGCGCATGCTTGAGCCCATAAAGTGCTTTGTCAAGTTTGTACACATGATCAGGACTCTCCTTGCTTTCAAACCCCGGAGGTTGCTTGACAAACACTTCTTCCTTTAGATAGCCATTGAGGAAGGCACTCTTGACATTCATCTGGTGGAGGGCGAATTCCATATAAGCAGCAAAGGTTATAAGGAGTCTTATTATTTCCAACTTTGCAACTAGAGAAAAGGTTTCATCATAGTCTATGCCCCCCTCCTTGCTATATCCTTGAACCAACAATCTTGCCTTGTTCCTTGTAACAGTTTTATCTTTATCAAGTTTGTTTCTGAAGACCCATTTTGTGCCAATTACTGATCTGTCCAAGGGTCTTGGTACCAGATGCCAAACTTGACTCCTTTCAAATTGGTTGAGTTCATCCTGCATTGCATTTACCCAGTCTGCATCCTGCAAAGCTTCAACAATATTTTTAGGTTCAATAAGAGATACGAAAGCATCAAAAGCATAAAGATTCTTTAATGAAGACCTGGTTTTGATTCCAGAGGTTGGATCAGTAATTATGTTCTCAATGGGATGAGAACTTTGATACTT